CCCCTCCCCCCCCCCCCCCCACACTCTTAGACGTGGACTGAACCGTCTCTAATTGGCGACTCATGATATCACGTCTCCTCGTTTTTTGCAATTCATGGAGTCCTATTCTCTCAATCGTCTTGTTGTATCAGGACTTTCTCTGACTTTATCTTGACTATTGGAGCTTTGCCACGTTTTGTTCTCAGTTTTTTGATATTTTTAGGTGTAAACATTGCCCCCCCCCCCAAAAAAAATGATGCGACCAAACATTTTGCATTCAGAGTGTTGTTTTGGTTCTTTGAATTTAAATTGTTGCTACCTTTGTCTTTTCATGTACCTATCACTCTATTATTGGTTGTAGCACATAAAGTATGTGATTTGGCTTCCATGTGTAGACCCTCGATCTTCATCTTGTCCTTTCAAATCTACAAGAAATGGCTAACATGTGATCCTTAATTAAGTTTTTTTTTGCAACAACAAACAAAGCAACTGAAATCATATATAATTTTAGTTTCTATGAAGCGAAGTACAATGCTAAATAAAGTGTCTCGATCAACTTGTAACGTTGCTCGACTGGATTCAAAATCCTTCTTAAATAATAAAAGGCCTATTCTTTGATCGAATTATTATTTTGGCCCAATAAGTAAACAATGGAACCATGTGCGGCTGATAAATACAAAAGTAATGGCCTACCATTTATGGGTGGCATAAGAATTGGTGGTCTCACCAAGTACTCTTTAATTTTTTGAAAGGCCTCCTCCTACTGTGCCTCCAACTTGAAGTCCTCTACGTTTTTCACTTTAGGAGCAACAAAAATGCATGTACCTTCCCTGCACATTTGGCGATGAATCGTCTGAGAAAATTGACATAACCAATCAGGCGTGGTAGCACTTTCTTGTTCTTTCGAGGCGTAACTTCTATGATCACATTTGCCTTATTCTTGTCCACTTCGATCTCTTTCTTATGCACTTTGAACCCCAGAAAATCCCCAGCAGTTACCCCCAAATGCACACTTTAAAGGATTCATCTTCAGCCGGTGTACGCGCATCCATTCAAAAATGGCTCTCAGAGCAATCAAGTGTTTTTCTATCTCTTGTATCTTGACTATGATGTCGTTAATGTACACATCCACGATCTTGTTGATAATGTCATGAAAAATGGTGTTCATGGCTTTTTAGTATATTGCTTACGTGTTTTTCAGCCCGAAAGTCATGACCCTCAATTCAAATATCCTTATATTGCCCTGGAACACCTAAAGGTGGTCTTGTACCTGTCTTCCTTGGCAATGAAGGTTTGTTGATATCCTGTGTTGACATCCATTGAATGGCATGATGACGTTCATGGCCATTGCATCCACTAGCTGATCGACCATGAGCATGACGTATTCATCTTTCAGGGTTCCCGTGTTGAGATTTCAATAATTGGAACAAACCCTGATCTTGCCATTCTTTTTCCTTAATGGCACAATGTTGAACACCCACCTGGATGCATTGGCCTAGAGAAGTTGTTCAATCGCCTCTTTTACCAACACTTCTTGGGACATCAACCTCAGGGCTTATTTGATCGGCCTATATCTGTACATGATGGGTAATCTTTGTTCAACTAAGGCCGGATCCAATCCTGACATCTCTTCTTAACTCCATGGAAAGAATCATAGTACTCTTTCAATAGCTGTATGAGCCATTCTTGAAAATTTGGTTCGAGCAATTGGTTGATGAATGTTGGCCTATGCTCATCTAGTCCTCCAAGGTTT